AATTTCACAAAATTGGTACAATTGTCTTTGTACTTTACAAGAAGGTATTACATCCTAGGGTAACCATATGCTGTATACTGAAGACTTAATGACTATGAGATCGGGGGATGAGTGAACAAATTAAACTTATAAAGGTGAGTTGCACTTGTATACTCAATGGCTGCACGTTTTACTCGCCGATATAATCAATGACGGTCCTCGAAGCATTTCCGGACCTATTTATTGTATATGTCTATAAACTTTTCCTGACTTTTAGCTTTAGAATCATATCCTCAGAGATTACTGTGCAATTTAGAACCCTTCCCCCCTCTGTCAAATGAAATAACATCAATCCTAAACTAATACTAATCCAATATGCGTGTCAAAGTAGTTTTCGTGAACTAACGGGTTGGGACATTAATTCAAACATGTGTGTGGGAAAATATTGTTATATTATTTCAAATTGACTTCACAAACCAGTACACTAAACATGTCTGCTACCCCGGTGGTCTGACTATAAGCACGCGCCTACCACCAGACCAAACTGTTTGACGCTCGTTCTCCGAACACCGTGTTCAAAAGTTCCGGCGATTCGTCACAGCAATAAAAAACATACGCCACACTACCTTTGACCAAATGCCCCGCTCTGCTCATTTGTTTTAGCAGTGTCTCAAAACACAGTAACATTTGTTCAGGGCGGGGTTTTACTTAGAGTGCTGAAGCTGAAGTAGAAATCCCAACAATATGGACCAGCTGAAGCTGTACTCAAAGAGGACCTAGTATAACGAGCTTTTAATTTAGTGTGAAACAAAGAATTTAAATTTTCTCTTTTAGTTTTTGAAACTATGTTTGTTGATGGGGACGTAACATTGTTATAGTCTAGAATGAATTGGGTTTAAAGTCTAGCGTGATCAAAAGGTTAGAATATGATTGAGAAATCTGTAAACATCAGATAATTTTGTTGCTAGCCATATATAATATAATGAAGTTCTTTATACAAAGAATGTCGGTATCACAGAAGTCTGTCCAAGCTGGAAGTAAATTTCAAGTTTTTATTTACTATCAAAACGTTTAGGATATTGAAGTCACAAAAAATATCCTTAAGTTAAAAAACAACGTTGAATTGAGACGTGGAATGAATGCTTATGTCTACTAATGATCCTACGGTAAAGTAGCTGGTATAAACCAACGATGAAATAAGACCAACGTGATGGCACTACATGATGTAGGAGTAACAACAAAAATACAAAATGGGCTAAAGAGCCGAAATGTGCATAATCCAGTCAGGACGAAATTTGGATCCAAGGCAACAACGGGTAATTTTCCTGTTTATTTTTATCTGCATGTTCAGTAGATACATGAAATTTTCGATCAAGTTCATAGCTCAATCTAATGTAAACTGGGTTTAAAAATAAATGAACTTCACTATCCATTATACGCAATGCTTTATTTACACAATCCCTGACAGTTTCAACTTCTAACCACCATCTCCTTCACTTTGACGATACAATAGTGTTCGATCGTGTGGAACTTTGCAAGATCCTTCCTTGTGATCATTCCAACAGGTTCATAGTGTTTATTGATCACCACCAGATGTCTTATACCCAAACTACGGAACAGTTCGTACGTTTTGATCATAGGAGTGTCACTTGTGATCGTAGGAGGAAACAGGTTATAGTATGGAGTAAGATCGAGCTCTTCCTCGTAGAAGTGTGGATCTACATCTGCAATGATACTATTCAAACTCAGATGCGTCCTGGCTTCTCTCATGTAGGTTTCGTAGCATTCGCACATCTGTTTGTTGGTGGTCGGCGGAGGGTGTTTGTACGCGTGATACTTCAGCAATATCAACAATTGCTGACGAAGAATCAACCCGACTAAGAGTGGTCGAGAGTTGTCCATGTTGACTACGGGGAAGCCATTGTGGCTGTTGGTGCTGATGGTTTGAATGACGTCAGATACGGTGGGAGAAGGTGGTAAAGTCACTAAGGGTGGTTTAGACATGTTTTTAGTGGTGGGAATGTCACAATCTAGTGGTGGGGGTTTGTAGGGAAGGTAAGGTAAACCCATTATGTGCATTTGCGTTTCGTATATCGGTAAGACAAAGAAGGTACATACAAGTCTGGTGATGCTGACGATCACCATCAGGGGGAAGGAGAGAGTGATACTTCCAGAAGCCTCAACGAAGATGACAAGAATGCTAAAAGTCTTCCCAACAGTCCCACTGAGTTGCGCTGCAGCTCCAAGATACGCGTATTTTTCAGGTCTCGCCCATTTGGCGTTGTTCGATTGGTGGTTCAAAAAAGTCCCAAGAAGTCTTCCCCAAGCTGCCCCAAGAATGATTTGAGGTATGAAAATTCCCGCTGATATCGACAAACCCATTGTGATGCACATCAGAATAAAATAAATCAGAGCGTACAATCCTAATGAACTTATTTGTAAAGTATCCGGACCGAAAAATAGGCGTAAAACGTCTCCTTGCGTTTTAGAAAACAAAAGAGACATGTCACTGCGTTTACCCTCGGAGCAGTACAGCTGATGGTGCGTAGAGAGGGTTTTGTTAGTTTGTTTATCTATCGGACAATCCGAACAACTGCGCATCAACCAAATAGCCGACATTTGGAAAATCAAAACTACACAACCCGCTACAAACGCGGCGATCATCTTCCGAGTTTTACTTTTATTTGTGTATCGATCCCTAAACACAGCCACGAATCTGTGTATTTGGATCAACAAGGCGCCAATAAGCCCTCCAATCACGGCCATGATCGCAAACGGAACCACTTCAAAAAACGTGTACTCTGTGACGTCCGAAGATATGAATCCAAGAGACAAAATGTCTTCGTTAAACTCAATCTTGCCTGTGTGTATTAGAGACATAACCGCGCCGCCGGCTACGTAGCTGATCACACAACACAAGTAGATCTTCCACATCAAACTCAACTCTAGGAAACTGACACCTTCCTCTAAAGCTAACAGAAGTCCTCCAATGGGAGCGCCGAAGACTACCGCTATACCAGCACCAAACCCTGCTGCGGCGAAGTCCCTTCGTTCATTTTCCAGTTTGAACTCCAGCCACGGAAGCGCAGAAGGAAGGCTGCCACCCGCAATTGCACCCATGTGCATCATAGGTCCTTCTTTACCTCCAGCCAAACCAGAAATAACCGTGCAGATAGTGCTAAGGGATTTCACAACCAACCCTTTGATGCTAAGAACTTTAGGAACTCTGACACCGTTGAGATATCCTATACACTGAGCAACACCACCTCCTGCAGCGTACGGAGCAATATACGTCACCAAACCAGCTCCGATCATAACAGGGACGATCACCCCGACAAACCGATACGCCATGAATATAGCAAACTGGTAAAACGATCCGTCAAATCTTCTCATAGCGATCTTCTCAAATTTCTTGTACTTCAAGTGACCCAACTTTTCTATCGCAATTTCTAACAAAACTCCTAAACAAGCTGTCAACACTCCGGTCAAAAGAAAAATTCCGATGCGCAAACTATCTTGTATCTTCACAGTGCGGAATGTGTGAGTTTTCTGCCTCTCCAGCTCTATCTGGTTTGTGATAGGAGTGTAGTTTAAGCTCTCGAAGGATTCTTTGACGTAGAAATGAGATGTTTTTCTCGAATGTATTATGGATCGTTGTGAAACGCTTGTTCTCAGCGGAGGTAGGTTAGAGGCGTCTGTCTCTGGCTGGATACTGAGAGATCGAAATACAGAAGCGGGAGGTCCGATCTCTGCCAAGGAGGAGAACATTCTACGCTCCGGATTTGCCATGGCACCACAAGACACTTGAAAAAGAACTAACAATAAACTACCGAGAACTAATAAGTTCAGTTAACCTAGGTATTCAAAATATTTGTTTTCATTTACGTCAGCTGATGGGCTACAATACTTTTCATATGGTCTATTTGCCTTGAATGACAAATTTAATTGTGTAAATAATTTAATGTCATTTATAGGATTAAACGAAAATAAAATGTTATGTTTTATGTAAAAACGTAAAATATAAAATTGTATGGGATAAACCTAAATTCATAACAGGGGCTATTTATCACTACTTATCGGCTATTTACAGTCCTTGAATAAATTTACCACAATTTCTTAATCATTCTAAAAATAAAAATACATATATGAGGTATACAATTAAAATTAAAATACCATTGAGGATAGTATTTAAAACCCTGCGCTGTAACCACAATTAAAACAAGTCTGTTAAGAACCAATTATTTTGTACCAACTTTGACGTTTAAATTAATTTTGACTTTCCGATTTAGCGGATCATTTGCGTTTCATAACCTAGAATTGTTCAATTAAACATTTGATCACTTGGAAGCCTATGAGGCTTTTTGATCAATTTCAATAAGAAAATGTTATTCTATTGACGTACGCTGTTACCATCAAACAAATTCAAATTTCTATTCTTACGTGACAAAAAACTATTCTCAGATTTAATTTATTCACCACGTTTCTAGATCCATGCGAACTAGACAACTCACTTCTAGAATTAACACTTAATCTCTTAAATTCATCTCAAAGGAAAATGCTCATCCACATCCTGCTGTTATACTTCCCAAGCCAGAGTAAACTATGGGAATGGCAAACAATACGATAGAAAGTGACGTGGAAACTGAACAACTGTCAAGTGATACACGTTATTAAGGTGTCAAAACAGATCTTGGGCTTGGCCTTGAACTACGGGAGAAAGTAGCCTAGTTACTCGGCAGATTATAGCTTGTTTAGACCAAGCACAGAGAAGTAATATACTTCTTATCTTATACAGTATATTACTTTTCTTTGGACCAGGTCTACGAGGAGCCGGGGAGCGGCAAAAAATCAACTAAACGTAAAGGCTTTATAGTCAGATCCCTTAAAGGACGTTTGGTTTTGAATTATCGTCGAAAACCAGCATCGCCAACTTCATGAAAACTTTAGAGTGTAAAAGTTGGTCTATGTACAATCATATATATTTGTAATTTAATGTTAGTAAATAAAACATAGATACTCACGTGAAGACTTCTTCCTCCTCGTCCTCGCCAATGGTGGTGAGGTTGGCACTCCTGGACGGCACGAATGTTTCAGTTTCTTCATCAGACTCAACCACAGGGACACACATTGGCAAAGCAGGGCAGTGTTCTTCTCCCTCCGAAGCGTCACTCCCAACGTCTTCCTCCTTCTCTTTGTCAAGATCAGAGACATTTTGAGGACTCATCATCTCCAAGAGTCTTTGCCTTTGGATGAGCAACTCCATGTGATTTTGCTGACTGTTTTCTGGATGAATAGCGTTGGGTACCACCAAATCAGTTCTGTCCTTAGGTACAAAATCGATCAGTCTGGGTAAGTGGTGGTCCATATCATTTCGACAGTCTTCTACTTCTGATCGTGTGTCTTCTGGAACTTGCGGGTCGGGGCACAGAGGACGGTCTGACCGCGGAGGTGGTGGCGGAGGGGGTCTTTTCTTCCCGGACTTGAACTTATTCTTTTGATTCAGCTCTTTTCTAGGTGTCGGTTTTGGCGGTAGCTCCGGAGCACTTTTGTCATTTTGGTTATCTGTGGAATTCACATCGTCTGAACAAAGGTTTAAAACAATATTGTGAGATTTTCTCGGGATAGCCTTGATAGCTGGAGGACTTTTTTTTATCGGTTCAAAAATTTCTGCAGAGCTTAGCGGCATTCTCTCTCCGTCAAAGTTTGCTCTGTTTCCCGGCTCGTCCTGGAAACTCACTGGAGGTTGGAGAGCAGAGTCTTCTCCCGCTCCTGAATTCATAGAAGAACTTCTCGTCAGTGAAATGTGAGAAGGCTCTGTGAAATTTGCAGCTGCTACTAACTTGTTGAAGAGTGAACTCTCGTCAATGTTCGCACTCGATGAAAACTCTCTTTCCAACTGAAGAAAAGGTTCCAGGACTCTGTCCAAGTCGAAAGTCGGACAAGTGTTAGTCGTGGGTGTCGGAGGTGTGGTTATGTCTAATGAAGTGATAGACCGTACGTCTGAGAAACTCGAATTCGAAGTTGTGGGAGCCGAGGATAATCTATCAACGACTGTCGAAATGCTGCTTCCAGTGTCGTCACTCTCAGATTCTCCCAGTAGAATCTCAGACTCCTTGGAGATTAAATCTAGATAAACCTCAGCTTCAGGTATTTGCCTTTCGTCATGATTATTCTTCACACGGGCCTTGGGAGAAACCGATTTGAACTTTGACTCATCTGTAAATCCATCAGGTGGGTGTACAATCGCAGCTTCTTTCTGAGCAGAATTTCGTCTTGGGACTTTCCTAGGAGGAATAGGTGGTGGGGAATTCTTACTTTCCTTTTCTTCACCGTGTTGTTTTACTTTCAACTTGATAACAACGTTAGACTCTTTCAACGACCTTACACAGTCAATTCTAGTCATACTTTTCACCTCAACGCCATCGATCTCAAGTATTTCATCCCCAGGTACCAACGGACCCCAAGAGCATCTCGTTCTGGACGCAGGACTGTCAGGAGCACAAGACTGGATGAACAACCGATTCACTCGTTCCGCAGTCTTTAATCCGCCCTCGAACTTCAATCCGAATCCTAATCTTTCACCGGGTAACCGATACACCAACACCTCCTCTGCTTCCTTCTTGTCGCCGATGGCCAGAACTGTGACGAAGCTGCTCTCATGATCCTCCAGAGGTGGCTGCTGGGTCTCCACCGCTACTACAGTCACAAATTCACCGGTCACGTTGCTCTGGAAGTTTCTCTCTACATCTGCACTCTCTGTGGTCCACTCCAGGTAAGCTCCGGAGTCTGCGGATTGCTGTCCCTTATGTCGCACCTCTAGAGGTGCCTCAGCTGACATCTTGAAGTTCTCGGACGCTTCTCTCGCACTCGCCCCGCGGGTTAGGCCATGGTGTCACTTCATCGTTTGCCGCCGGTTCACCTGAAACAATATGAACGAAATCAGTTTTTAATCATTTAAATTTCAAACAAACAAATGGATTACTCAATTTTGATTTCAATTGAAATTCTGACGATTTAAAGTGAGTGTTAAGGGGACACATAGTTGACCGTGATGCCCGAACACTCTAGGTTGTCCGTCGCATGTGAGGTCCGTTACCCGTTTCCGGGCCATTGTCTCTGCCATTTGATCGGAATCCAGGACTGATACACCGAACTTTCCTCTTCGCTTTGGGCCACTAAAAACGTTATCAGTGTTCAAATTGCCATTACAAATTAAGCCATTAAATTGATGAATTGACACAACTAGTACACATTAAGTTTAAATTTCGTTTAGTAAAGAGAGCTCTCTCATACAGAGAACGTTTCCCAAACATCTAACAGACTTAACTTTTTTTCTACAAATTTGGTCTTGAACCTACAAGCATGAGCTCAAAACACGGCTTTATGACATAGCTAAAACCATTGGTGATTGGCGGAATTTGAACTCCGTACCTTCAGAACAGAAGCCCTCCACTCTTGTCACTAAATAAGTCACGTCTCTTATTACTCCTTTCATTAACATGATACAAGTTTGAAAATTCAACATAATTTAGATAATGAAGATATATTCATAAAGATTTGTTCAGGAAGTTTATCAACACAATGTAGATTGGTCTATGACTACGGAAAACTCCAAAGAACATTATTGTCAAAACACAATTATTTTAAAGGGATATCTCAACGTTAAATTGTATTTTGGTTTATTTTAACCTCAAATTTAACATTGGCCTTTTGAATTGCCAAGTAACCATTATGATTAAACAAAATAACAAGGAAAAAGTAAACAAAAGACTTCTAACATGTGTTTATGACAAGCCATCCACAGTAGACTAGCGAATTACAATACTGTATACAGTACAAAGGGAAAAACATCAGTTGTTACTATTGACTGAAGATTTCTCGATATAGGGGAAAATAGTTCCTATCAAATACTTATTCGGTTCACTCCAAACCAAAACTTAATCCCCGAAGTACTAAGGCAGTTAGCAAACTTTGGTTTTACAGTGAAATAAATAATTACTAATATTATATTTACACACACTCACTCCCATCTCCATTTATGCCCAAGGCGGGATTTGACCGCACCAACAACTCATAAATTGAGTTCTAAGTCCCAAAAACCAATTTTACAAATTTTTAAAAATTTACTAATTTTTCTGTGTAGTATGATGTAAAGTATCTTACTCGCCCGGTAAGCTTACCAGGCTAGTAACGTAATATACTATTCTTGCGAAACCAAGACTCATTCATAGCGTATTTATTTTTATTTTTTGCTGCCATAATAACGCTGGAGGCATTTTTACTGGGTGAATTAGAGGAGGAAGTTCCTAAACCCATTCCCTGTTTCACAAAATCAGCGTTCTCGATCTAATAAAGTAATTCTGTGATCTTCTCAACAATAACCATATTTCTCAAAACAAGACGTTATTTGGATAATTTGGCTGATTACAGATGATTCTGTAAAACTATGAAAGCCTGATTGAGAGTTGTTAGAAAGTAGTTGGGACTAATCGCTATTCTCGCGAAAGATATGTTAGCGATCGAACTCTGGAGCTTTCGCTATAATACGGAAAAATTATAGTTCCAGTTTGAGTTTACTGCCTCTCTCCAGCGGATTTGTCAAAAATAATCATAGTGGGAGACTACTGTTTAACTAGGGCTGTTTTAAGTTGCATTAGTTGTTGTAGAAAGTTAAGGTTTTATTTTCAACCAGGACGTGATTGAGCCATGCGAACGAGCTCATCTTGAAAATTAAGAAGTTAAACGAGGCAAAGCCCGCGGGTACAGCTAGTCTATAGATAAAGATAGGGTGGATTAGGAATCTCAAGCATAAGGGCTGTAGTATTTAATCACATTTAAAATATTGAAGATACACCAGCTGTTCGATGCGTTTTTTATTTTGTTTGTTTGTTTACTTTTCCTTGAGTCAACCTTTTTTTTTTGCTCGTATCTACGCCAGTGGCATTTTTGTAACGAAGTATGAAGTCAAACACTTTTAAGGGAAAGCGGTCCAAACCCATTAAAGTTTTGTGGATGTGCCGGGGATTGAACCCGTCCCTCCCGCACCGAAGTCCGAAACGCTAACCACTAGGCTATCAACACACCTTTTGATTTTAGGTACCATAGATTTTTGTATTGCATCAAGAGTAGAGCATGTGCAGTTCAAGTAGGTGCTGTAGAGTTGAATAAGTGCTTAATCAACCAGCGGTATGCATTGGACGAGGCAGGGAAGAATCACTTAAATCTTCTCTGCGTTCTTTCACCTTGGCGAGGCACGGGCAGAACAGCTAGTCTAACAAAGCTAGGATGGATTTGAACTTGTGAGAAAACTGTAATCCGTACACCTGCATACTTCTTCGACGGGTTCTTCGATAAACCTTGCAGTTGTTAATAGTTAATATCAAGTATTAATATTGAGTAAGTAATTGGGTTCTTTGTTTAAGGGCAGTAACCTAAATTAAAGGGCTGTAGGATTTAATCACATTTAAAATATTGAAGATACATCAGCTGATAGATTTGTTTTTGTTTTAGTTCGTTTGTTTACTTTTCCTTGACAAACTTTTGATTCTTCCGTAGATTTCTATTGCATCAAGAGAAGTGACTAGTAAGCATAAGTTTTTCTTATGATGTCTAGTGTTCAAATCCTTTGAATTATGTTCAAATTGTTTACTTATTAGTTCATATATTTTGAAAACACAGTAATATTGATGTTGCAGACAAATATGTTGTGTAAGTAAGACAGAAGAACCATAGTTAAAAACATGAGGAGTGTGTTTATCTATGGTTTGAACGGAGCCTTTTGTAATCCAACTGGGAGAAAAATGCATTTGTATTTTTAGAGTATTTTTCCTTATGACAAGCACATTAATCAAATAAACTTACATCAAGGAAAACGCTTAATCAAGCAGCAGTTCTCATTGGACAAGGCGGTGAAGATTGACCTTAGGCATCTTCCTTGTGTTCTCTTTCCTTGGCGATGTTCAGGCAGAACAACTAGTAAATATTAATGCTCCAAAGTTTTTGCTTACAGAGAGATTACAATTTTGGAATCAAATATTTGTTTCGGGTGATCATATCAGTTGCACGTGATATTTAAACGCCTCTTACTTGATTTACGAGAATATTACCATATTTTAACTTGAAACTAAATGTGCTAGTTTGTAATGAACTTTTCATTATACTGAACAAAAGGTTTAATACACCTATTACTATTAAATACTTAAAAGAGTACTTAAACGAATTTTGCAATAGCATGGTCTTGCTAGTTTAAAATGTTAAACAATACCAGATTTTCATGCAATCTAAAGATTCTTTGACGGAGAGATATTCAAGTAATTAATGGCGAGTTAAGACTTGACTTGTGAATGTAAAGTTCGGTATAGCCTACGTAACTATGATTAAGAGTAGCAACTAAATTATTGGGAATCTTAATTCCTCCTTGTAATTAATTTACTTATAATAAAAAAAACCTGTACCCACAAATCTAAGTATTGATGGAATTTGAAGAAAATACATCAATGACATAGATATACAATATGCTGAACAATAAAACCAAAAGTGGGTTCAATTATTAAATCCACATTTCGTACATTACGTTGACTACAACAAGGAGATTATACCTACAGACGTAACTGTCGATTCGTTCAAATTAATCTTCATGAGCTCATGATGAACCTATGAAGAAGGGATGTGCTGTTGAATTCAATATTATTTGATTTTTTTTGCAGCTGATTATGATTATTGTTTATGTTTGTGATTGCTATGTTGTGGATCATTCTAAAAGTTAAAGTTTTATTGAAGTCTTTACTTTTAATTTCTTAAATAGTTAACAAGATGTAGACACATTTTTTAAAATTCAAATCCACGTTTCTAGCCCCTGAGCTGTCGGATATAATGGACTCTACAATCCTACAAGTACTAGAAGTTGATGGTGGTGTTTTAACACAGAAACGTGTACCAAATTGATATATTTTGTTGAGCTGTGACGGGAATTACGTAAGTAATTTAGACTTGCATTACGGGATATACAAATGTAGTTATTGATGGAGGTTTAAGAAAATGTATTAAATAGTGCGTAAACAAAACAATTAAACTAAATCCAGTTTAAAATCATCGTAAATGTTTATTATACCAGAACGCCAACAGCGCAGATGAGGGATTATGTTTAGTTGACGAGGTAGACGGAGACATCTCTGTCAACAGCATAATATACTGTGCTGAGTGCTGTACACTCTATCCGAATCAGCAACTAGAGGAGAGGAAGTATCCAGTATCCAGGTTGGATCAGCAATCCTACATAAGCAACTTCTCACGGCCGAAGACTAACATCCTTGTAAACAAATACTTTCAGTGTAATTGAAACTCTCTTTGAAAGTTGCGTTAGAACATATTTTACATCTTCAGTATTCATCATAAAACATCGGTTCGGAATTAAATGTATGTTTTTGTTTTAGAATTAGCATGCGCCAAAAATATGTACATGCGGTTCAATCTGTTTTTATACAAAATGCATTGAACGTGTAAACTAACATTTCACTCTATCTCCTTTTTAAACGGGAGAGTTTAAGGGAAGTGTTCAGGTTGTACCTAAGAAATAAGTTTTTAAGAATAATATGGTTTGAAATTAGATAAAAAACTAACAATTCAATGTATTATGTATTGCATTTTTATTCAACGCCTTTCGGTTACCAAGATATTAAAAGTGATGAACGCGATGATGCAGACAGTGGTTTACGACACAAAAGACATGACCTTTAAATGATTGGAAATCCTAAGATTAAAGATTACCTTATCTTTTGGATATAAACCTATTAAGCTTTTCGTCAGTGCATCACATAACAGATATGCAAGCTCTTAAAGACAGACTATGTCTACAGTATTATACAACAAGCACAATGTTATTCTGAGTTCGCTGTATACAACCTGCTATATCAAACATCT